CAAACATCAATCCCGAGCCACAAAAAAATTTTGCAAATCCAGTTATTTTTGGACTTTTCTTGGTTGATGGAATTCTCTCTGCCAAATCCAACACTGAACGCGCTCGAACACAGCAGATTCAAACAACTTGTGTGGAGATGATGAATCAGGACCATTTACAAATCGATCGTAATTGCCATACGGAAGCTCTAATTGATCTTTCAATCAATAACAACCAATCCAACTACAGACCGTTGGAAACAACGGAAAATTGTGCTGAAAACTCTTTTCGAGAGTGTTTTGATCAACATCAACCATTGAAGAAGAATTCTTCTGTTGCTGAAATTGTCTCACACAGTGTCCATCCATTGGTTTCAGAGTGGAGAAGTGGATGGACCCTCTTGACAAAGCACAAGCTCAATTCAAACACTCATGATTCGGACATTAGAAATGAAACACTACTCACGGAAGAGTTTATGAAATTCAGAAAACGAAAGGAACCTCTCTCTCCGAAAATGTATTTAAATTACTCCACTATTTTAATGTGGAACGATGTGTGGAATTGCAAAATAATTATTTATTGCCTTCAAGGCGAGAAGGTCAAAATGGTGATGATGGCTTTGATCGTCCAAACTTCATGTTCGATTTATCCACTGATTATTTAAATTGGAATTGTGCAATTTTCAAATTGACGCACTCGGTGAAAGATCTTGCGGATGGAAGCAATGAGTTCTTTAGTGTGGCCACTGAATATATTCAACCCATTGCAATGATTGTTCATGAAAATTGCTTTGAATTGTCACAAGAAATGCTAAACAGTGAGTGTGAAAAGAATCGAGAAATTCGAGAAGGCATTCAACAATTTAGAGAACAACAACAACAACGAAAAACCAATCCGAGCTCAACACCCAACAACAAGATGTATCATCCAATCATCATCATCATGCTCAGCAACGACATGTTCAACAGCAAAATGACAGAATTGGATTAAAAAGATGGAACCAGTCAACATTCTTTGAACGATTTAAGGATGATTATGCCAATTTCATGTGTGTTGGATATCCAAAAGAGATTGTTTACAAAATTCTTAAAATGGTGCTCGAAGAACACTTTTCTGGAAATTCATTGGTTGCTTTTTCATTACTCATTCCTCTTCTGGAGAGAGGTCTGCAAGACTCTATATACATTGACTTGCTTTACAAAAACGACAAGCAAAGAATTCAACAATTTGAGGACTATCAAAATTACCAAAATTTAGTGAATTATTGGTCATGCAAGAATTGAAGGACATTTATGGGGAGAATGTCGCACTCTTGCTGAGATGCTTGGTTGGACCTTTGAATTCGATCAATTTGAGAAATGTTGCTCTCCATGGATTCATTTCTCCTCGAGAATTTCAAGATTGTTATTTGAGTTTAATTTTACTAATTATTCCTTCTATTGCAGAAAAATCCTTGAAACATGTGGAGAATACGATTGGATTGAATCAAGCCTCTCTGAAACGACCAATCATTGATTTGAAACATTGCAAACCTTTACAAAATATTTTCCAAGTGAACCAGATACAGGAAGACAGTTTTATTACCACCGCCTACCAAGTGGATCGTGAAGAGCTTTTTCAATTATTGGAAAATTCATTATTTGTAGTGGATGAATGGATACCTCTTTGGAAAAAGGCATTCAGGGAGTATTTTGAAAATCAGAATTATTACAAAACAATTTCCATCCTTTTTCCATTATTTGAACACTCGATAAGACGAATTTTCGTGTGTGTGAACAAGTGTGAAAATAGATTATTAACTGCTGAAAAGAATAGTTTGTATACCACTCTCGATATTCTGTTTACCACAAAACCCATCCCTTCCTATGGAATTGAGAGGAATGCAATTTTTGACATTATTGACAACAAATTATTGAATCCAATTTTCGATTTACTGATATGGGTGGAAAGTCCACGAATTCGAGATTTGATCTCACACGGAAATATTCATATCGATACCATTCCTCATGCATTGATGGATGAAATTATCAAACTCATGCTCGCTCTTTTAGCAGCCTTCGATCTAAGACAATGTAAAGATAACTATTATTCCACACATCTTCCAGAATTTATTCAACGTGCTGTAAATTATTTTGATCATGTATACGACTCTCCTTTTCATTGCAAGAATATTTTGGATCGTCAATTGAGACGAACCTTTGAATGTTTAGAACAAATGGAAGAAATTAAATCATTGATTAAGGATCAAGTGATTCATTCACCATTATTTGAACAAGTTCGACAGGAGATGACTTGCAACGATCCACAACATGAACTCTTATTGCATTTGATAGAAGTGATGAATATTGAACTTGATGCTCTTATTACCTTTACACAAGAGTATTACAATCTTTCTCATATTGACGAAAATGGTTGTATGGGATACATGAGAAAACAATACCTCATTCCAACCACTCATCCAGTCACTCTCTCCGATAAAGAGGTGAAAAGATCAATCAATTACGAAGTATTGCCATTTCACTCGAAGGAATGATTCAAAAAGTATGGACATGATGAATGAACTCCTTCCACTCGTTTCCAATTCCAACAGTAGCAATATGGACAGTCATACGAAAAAGAAACCTCTCAAATCCAAAGAAAAACATCTCTCAGTTTAATACCATCTGCTTTTGAGACATTTCAACGATATGCCAAATTATGTTCATTCCTCATCTATGCTCAGTATGATCACACCACAGACACACAAGATACTTCCGTGTCGAGAGTTTTGGAACGTGTGGTGGGAGGAACGGCCACTGCAATCAAATCTGGGAAGGTCGTTCGTGGTGTAGAGCTTATTTCATGTCTTTTGGGCTCACAGGTGGAACAGTTGTTGCAACATTCATCCTCTTCCTCTAGTATGGGTGGATATCGACTGACAGGAACTTCGAAAGGAGAATTTGAACGGTATCAAGTCGATCTTCGAGAGTTGGTCAAATTGGTGCATTAAGCATTCAAGAACTCTTAAGATGAATGGCAATTCGTTGGGTTGTATATGTGTTTGAAAATTGTATCTCTTTGGTGGCAAGATCAACGAACAACAAACCACTCTGTTCGAGTGAACAAGTCGAACAAAGTCTACCAATTTCCGAGTTCACCTTTCGTTTAAAAATGAGAGGTCCCATCTTGACCACTGTCAGACATCAACAAAAAAAACAAAGATCATTATTACAGTCAATCAGTGTAACTGTTTCATAAAATCATCCCAGAAAATGCCAAACAATAACAACAACGGAGGTTCCTCAATGGAAGAATTCAAACTTGCAGTGGTTGGAGGTGGAGGTGTCGGCAAGAGTGCTCTCACTGTGCAATACATTCAAAACATTTATATTGAGGAATACGATCCCACCATTGAAGATTCCTATCGAAAACATGCCAAAGTTGATGACAAGGCTTGTTTCTTGGAAATTCTCGATACAGCTGGTCAGGAGGAGTACAAAGCTTTGAGAGATTCATACATGAGAACAGCGGATGGTTTCTTAATGGTTTATTCAGTCATTGATCGAAAGACCTTTGAAGAAATTAATGAATTCTATGAACAAATCTTACGAGTGAAGGATTGTGATAAAGTTCCAATGGTTCTCGTGGGAAATAAGTGTGATTTGGAATCGGAACGAGTGATTCGTTTGGATGAAGCCAAACTCTATGCCAAACAATTAGGAATTCCATTAATGGAAACCAGTGCCAAGCAACGACTGAATGTGGATGATGCATTCACGGCATTGGTGAGAGAAGTGAGAAAGGCTAAGAAACCATTTGGTGGTGATGAGGAAGAAAAGAAGAAGAAAAAGAAGATTTGTACCATCATGTAAGCCTGTCTTCATGGAGTTGAGAGCAAAAGAGATTCTTTTGAAGAGAAATCCTTTGAATTTAATCCAGTGAAGACCTTCTTATTAATAATCAACAATTTTGTGCAAGATATCTATATCATAACATACAGTATTAAACAAGAGTATGCTTCAAACACTATGAAATTTCTGAAAGAATACTTTCCACCTTTCGGACATGTTGGAGAAGCAAACTCCGAAGTCACTCCTATTATATTACAACATTAAAAAAT